ACAGATAAGGCAAATGTGAGGAAACAGATGGCGCAAAACAGCCGGGAGATAGCAAAAGGGCGGGCCGGTTCCCGTCGGTGACCTGTGACAACATCGGAGCTCTTTTGCTGCCAGGAAGCAGGAGAGAAAATAGTCCCAAAATCAGAGACTTTGTAACAGCACAATAGCTGGACGTGTCCGATGCAAGGAGCCTGCTTCCTTAAAAATGGCTGCGCCCTGTCCCCCTCACTGTTCCTTCAGCCTGAAATACCCCCCCCTCCATTGCCCCATAGATCTTCTCTATGAGAGCCAGTTTGATGTAGTGGTTAAGTGCGCGGATTCTAATCTGGGAGAACCGAGTTTGATTTCCCACTCCTCCACTTGCAGCTGCTGGATGACCTTGGGCAAGCCATAGTTCTGTCAGAGCTGTTCTCTCAAGGGCAGTTCTCGAGAGAGCTCTCTCAGGCCCACCTCCCTCACAGGGTGTCTGTTGTGGGGAGGGGAAAGGAAAGGAGTTTGTAAGCCGCTCTGAGACGCCTTTGGGTAGTGTAGGGCGGGGGATATATTCAATATCATCCTCCTCCACTGCTGCTGCTGCTTCTCAAATTATTTCTTCAATTTAAATCTTGTAGAGAAATAATTTATAAAACAATTGACTAATTGGGTCTCAATACACTGAAAGAATTTGTAAATTTTAGACAGTTCCAAAATGCAGTCTAGGCACAAAAATAGCGCAAAACCAGAATAGCTATTAGAGATACAATTATATACAAATTTCAGCCAGAAAATACTAATTTCTCATCTTTGAAAACAAGGGACCAAAGCTCTCAGAATTACTAGTGTTAGATGGTTTCAAACTAGTGTATTCAAAGCTGCCGTGGATGCATGATACGTTGTGAAACATCTAATTGAAGTGTAATGTAAAGCTTCGTCCTGGGCTGGGATCCAAATCCATCCAATCCTGTTACTAGCCCAGGAAGCACCTAACCAATCACCTTCTAGCAAGCTCCCTGAGCGGGAACATCCGTGATTGGTCCTTATGTGAACAACCTTATTGGTTGGTATTTGTACAGTGGGTGTGGCTACATTAGCCAGGAATGTTTAAAAGCAGGACAACTGCAATGTAAAGGCTGTTCTGGCTATCAGATGTTGATCCGTGTTGGGAGTTGTGTTCGAGTGGAAGAATAAAGTTGTGTTCTTGCTGAATCACTCTCCGACTGCTTTGTTAAGCGAGCGACTTAACACAAACCCAGGAAATTTTGCTAAGGATCAGGGGAACCTGAGTTCATAGAGTTTTCTCATCTGCATCTTGAAGGTGGAAAGAGCTGCCCCTGTTTAATGCACAACATTAACGGCACAGAGAGAGAGAGATTCAGTTTATGTAGTGGTTAGGAGCGCGGACGCTAATCTGGGAGAACCGGGTTTGATTCCTCCACATGCAGCTGCTGATGTGACCTTGGGTCAGTCATGAGTTCTCTCAGAGCTGTCCTCTCAAGGGCAGTTCTCGAAAGAGCTCTCTCAACCCCACCTACCTCACCTGTTGCAGGGAGGGGAAGGAGATTGTAAACCGCTCTGAGTCTTCTTCGGGTAGTGAAGGGCGGGATATAAATGCAATCTCTTCTCTTCTTCTATATCTATATGCAATCTCTTCTCTTCTTCTATATCTATATCACCACTATTTTGGTGCGGCTAAAAAATAACAAAGCTGATAACTGAGCAAATATTTGCAGTGCCATTTCAGGAGAGGCCGTCTTTTGCTTGCCCCCG